AATTTAAAGACAATAAAAATAAAATTTGGGGAGAGAGTTTAAAATTTTTTTAGTTTTTGATTGTATATTTTGAAAATAGTTTTAGAGTTTGAATGATTTTATATTTATTGTAGTTGAGTAGATGTGTGTGAAAAAAAATTGATTGATAAGGAGAGATGAGAGAGAAAAAGTGATTGATTGATGAGTAGGAGAAGAAAGTAATTTTGTATTTTTTTTCAAAAAATTTGAACCAAATAAAATTTAAAAAACTTTTCTCAAAAATTATATTTTCAGATACAAACCAACAATAATTCAAAACTTCCAAATTCTAAAACTATTTCCAAAATAAAAACCAAACAAACTTAAAAAATAAATAAATAAATAAATAAAATAAATAAAATAATAAAATCTCAACCCTCTACCCAAATTTTTTTAAAGAATTTATCACAAGACAGAGACCAAACACACCCTACTCTCTCCAAGCTTAAGAGCGCATTCCATTGGCAAAACAAATCAAGCAAGAGCGCATTCCATTAGGGAAAAACAAATTGGGGAAACAGAGATTGGACCTTAACATTCAGATTTGCTGGAACTGGAACGAGGTACTCTTCGTCTTCTTCTCTCTATTCAATTCGATTCTGCATTTTTTTCTTCTTCCGACTTCTTTTTTCCTCCTCGTCCTGTTATCTCTGTTCGACTGTTCTATTTTCTTTTTTGTTTTGCTTTGTTTTTGTTTTTGTTTTTGTGTTTTTTTTTTTTTTATCTTTTTTTTTTCTTCTTCTTCCTCCTCTTCTTCATTTTTTCCGCTTCCCTCTTAGTGATTGACTGTGTACTGTTCTTAGTTATTTATTTTTTATTTTTATTTTTTCCTTCTCTACTACTTAGTTCTTTTCCCTAAACTTGTGCTGAAAAAATAGTTCTTTTAACCAAAAAAAAAATTCAGCACAACTTGATATAAAAACAGTAATTTTAACCCCCTTTTTTTTTTTTTTTTTTTTGAGTTGGATGACACCGTGGGTGATGATGAGGATTGTGGTGATGACATATATGTGATTGCGGCAATGATTATTTTTCACGACAATGATGATTTATTTTAGTCTTTTACTGTTCTTCCCTGTTTAGTTCGTCTTCTTTTCATAAGAAACAATGAGAACCTTGTGCAAGTGTTTGTATTTTTTTATTATGTTTTTAATGTTTGAATGATAGGTTGAATTGATATATTTCTTTATTAAGAAAAGATCTAGCATAATAATTTAAATTCCTTATAAGTGAGAATGCAAGGATTTGAACCTTGATCTACTCATACTAAGCTCAAGTAATTATGAAGCAAGTATGAGAGCTCTACCATTTGAGCTACATTCCCATGTTTTTTGGGGTCATTCTATATACATTTTGATAGTATTACATATAAAAATTATTATTATTATTATTATTATTATTATCCTCAATCCGATCCGGCAGACCCCCAAAACAATTCTATGTAGGATCCCAATCTTAACAACCTTACACTTCTCTATAAGAACTATTTCATCTTTTGATGGAATGTTCTGTTGTCAAAATATGGATAGCTATGCTTAATCAAATATGAGATTCTTTTATTAGATCCATTTCATCTTCTGGTTTCTTGTTCATGTTGTCGACTATGAAAATGTGTGCTTAATCACATGATTATCTAAATCCAGTGATATTTATAACCAAAAAAACAAAAAAAAAAAGAGGATTATCTAAATCCAGTGATTCAAATCACAGGTAGCTAGTATAATTTGTCATTTGCATTTTCACATTAGACACATTATTTTGTAGTGTTTGTGTATATCTATGCATTCATCTATGTCACAAGGCTTTTTTTCTTGTTAAGTGAGAATTTTGTAGAAAATTTTAGTACATTGCCGCAACATAATGAAACTAAGAAGCTTTAATGTGAGCATCATCTGTAGAGCTCTACGTCCAAGTTCTATTTGAAGAAGCTTACATTATGTTACTTTACTGAAGTGACTTATAATTTCATAAATCTTATTGTGATGCTTTTATCTTCAATTCTTTCCATCTTGCTATCATGAAATTAGTATGTTTTATTTGGTGAGCTTGATGGTATTCTACTTCTTCAGATACATGTCGCTCAATGGTTGACATGGATTTCACATCTTTGGGTTCAACTAGTCTGTTCAGATACTCTTCATAAGGAGGGGTTTATTGGACTTCTTCCCGATGAAATCATCATTGATATCCTCAGTAGACTCCCAACTGATAGTGTTTTAGAATGTCGAAGGGTGTGTAAGAAGTGGTTGCACTAACTTCAATACCATATTTTGCTTCTAAAAGAGCTGCAAAACGAGATGATGTATGTGTGTTCTACCATCCACTGACAATGGAATCTCGAGTTCTTCAAGTGCTCCAAAAAGCTAATTGTTTTCAATATAACATACTTACCATTGGGATAAGTTGTGGAGAAAACTTGATTTGGGCTCTTACCGGCCAAAGTGTTTTGCAACCCAACAATTGTAAAAAGAGATTTGTATTGGATGGTTAAACACACATATGAAAATGAATACAACGTTCCTCCTTGCAACAACTCCATCATGAGGTTTAACATGGGCACTGAACAATTTTGCTCCATGCCTCATCCAGGAAAGGAATGTCACTCACGACCAATGCATGAAAAGATGCGGCTCTTAAAGTTGGGAGTGAAATTATGTTTTGGTTATTTGGATGCAAGATTAATTGATATATGCGATTGGAGGATGTTAAAAATTGGTTATGGGTGAAAACATACAAGGTTAACCTTGATTGGGATGTGAATGTTACCCTTTTGTGTTTAGTGTTATTGACCCTATATTTGAACTTTGAAGTGAAGCTTTTGAAAATCCAAAAAGGTGAGTTGTTGATGGATTGGTATTCAAGAGGAATGTTGCTGATATGTTTTACCTCGTACCATCAGAAAAATTGATAAAGCAAGGATGAAGAGCCTGGGTGGCTGCAATGCAATTGAATATTATCAAATATTCTCGCGGAGCAAGGATGAAGAGGACTGGGTGGCTGCAATGCAATTGAATATTATTAAATATTCTCGTGGAGTAAAAAGAGTAAGAAAGTAAGAGAGTCATTACTGTGATATTCAAGTTCAGTGCTAGTTTTTTTTTTTTTTTTTTTTGATAAACAGTTCGGTGCTAGTTTGTTCGTCATTTTTCATATATACACAAGTAAATTAGTGGATTTTTTTTTCTTCCTCTGCATTTTAAATATATTTACAATCAATGTTTGTATTATAAATATTTTACAACATAATAAACTTATTCATCACTAAATCGGATGTTTGTGCCTGCTGCACAACAGACCTGCTGTGAGATTAAGCGGCGCCGTATTTGATGCTGCTGTGTTCAAACAACTGTGTGCAAGTGCAAGGCATAACATCCATTTTTTTTTTTTTTTTATTTATTAAAATCATTTATATATGATATTAATTATGTGTACCCACTAATTTATTTATAATCAATTACTTTTATTTTTAAAAAATTATAAATAAATTTCATTTAACTGTGTTTCAGTATTTTTTTTTTTTTTTTTTTAAATGATAACAATTTGTTCAGTATAATACACTTGAAGGGTTGGGTCAGTTTTATATTTTTCAATATTTCACAAACACCAAAATTGAAATATAATGCAAGGAATACTTTATGACACATTTTTTGTTTTATTTTTATAATTCAAAGCCGTAGATTAATGTGTATCTCATGATTATTGTATTTGTTGACATTATATAAAAAAAAAAAAATCAAGAGCAAATTATACCAATAGTTTATGTATTTTAGTTTTTGTGCATTTAGTTTATGTTTTCAATTAACTCGATTTTGCTATCTAAATTTGGTCTAATTGGATACAATTGTTAGCAATATTCTATTAAAATATATACAGTTTTATATTTTTTCAATATTTCACAAACACCAAAATTGAAATATAATGTAAGGAAATACTTATAGAC